GTTGTTCTTCAGGCCTTAATCCTGGAAAGTACTTGGCTGCGAACACAGACGGCTGGAAACCCGACAGAAGTCCGCTGCTTGCATGTGTAGTTGATGCATTATAATGTAAATTCTCAGTGGACAAGTGCAATCACAAACCACAGGCAGACCCTCTGTCTGATGATGTCATGTACGTGTCAGCGACCCGAGCGCAGCCTAGTGTAGTGGGCCTTTAACCTTAGAGGTTAAAGGCCCCACCATCGTGTGACTCGGTCACATGGGTCAAGGCGTGAGTTGGGGTTGAATTGCCTAGGATCTGTAGACCGCCTTATATGTGGCTGATGGTTGTGACACCTCCAAAAACTCGTGGTTGTCGGCTGTCTAATCAAACTTCTAATGTTTCTGTGTGTGGTGTCTGCAGCTTTGCTCTCTGATTTATTGCTTTGATTGCAAACCTCTTCTGTCTGATTGCATAATAAAGGCAACAAAGTAACTTTGTTCAGTTCTGAGTCACTTTACCTAAAATCTGAATGAATGCTTGTTTTTGAGTTTTGCATGATTAGTCTCCGGCGTGCCTCGTTTCATCATCAGTGATATGAAGGGATATGTTAAGGTTTCTGTACCTCTGACCTTTTCTAATCATCTGGTCTCAGCGTCTGTCCCACTGTAAGCTGCAGCTGCAGCAGCCTTCCCTCCACTGACCAGCACGCCACCCATGGGACTGCTGCACATCAGCGGTTGTTGTGACCGCGTGGGCGGCGATGAATGTGTCGGGATATGAATGTGGAATATCAATTATGATGAATTCCTTCCTGGTGCTATCTGCCCCGTCTCTGCGGCGACACGTGTGGGCGGGTCCCAATCGCACGACCATAACAAGCCTTCGGTCGTAAACACTGACGAGGAAACAGCGTTTTTTTGGTTTCTTGTTTTTTGCACAGAATTAACAGAAAGACGGACGGAAAGACGGCAGAGACACACAGACGGTGTTTTTGAATCCTCTGAACTGTCTCAGCTTTCAAAATGTCCCTACACCTACTTTCTGCACAAACCAGTGGTGTTAGATTTCCCAAAATCACACATTTCAGAGAAACAGTAGTTACAGTTACATAACCGCCCACCCCCGATCACATCATGATTGGCACCTCCAAAGTCCTCAAAACAAAAACCTGAACATCCACAAAAAATATTTATATGTAAAAATGTCTGCTGATAATAAGTGAAACAGCTTTTAAGAGTCACGTTATGTTTCTGTCTGTGCTGCAGGAAGTGTCCGGACGGGTTTGTCTGTCTGAAGGCAGGAAGAAACCCCAACTATGGCTACACCAGCTTCGACACCTTTGGGTGGGCCTTCCTGTCCCTGTTTCGTCTGATGACACAAGACTACTGGGAAAACCTCTACCACCAGGTAAGCCTCATGTCATGGGCTGGGTCATGTGACCCAGTGTTTGAGTTTTATGTATTTTTGTATCCATGTTTGATCGAGTT